ACCCACCCTCCACCCCACCCCAAAAAAAACGAAAAAAAAGAACCAAACGAACACCAACCAAGTCAATGATGCCAACTACTTTTTGCAGTAACCAAACAGAATTCATGCTTATTACAAGAAAAAAGAAACTCTAGGTTTTATTGCTACTTTTTTTTACATACAACTTAAGGTTAATGATGATATAATATAAAGTAAAACATACGCACATGCATCGTGGCCAAAGTAATATATATGAGAGAATGGCAGATAACCAGATCTGGTACCTTGACTTCATCATAGAGCTTTCTCTCCCATGCATATAATCTATCTAATGTGGACGCATGACTGCCTGAATTCATGCATATGCTGCCAAAGAGATTACTGCTGGGGTCATCAACTTCATCTTTTGATGTTGGTCCAAGAGGGTTTCTAGATGACGAAGAGCGTGATGAAGCCGATCTATGCCATGTCAAATATTTCACATCATTTTGAGGAGGAGCTGAACATGACATCAAAAAGTTAGACTAATGTTCAAGAACCAGGTATGCACCCTTATAGTACACAATAATCAGTCCTGATCATAAATAATGATTAAATTTGACAATTTGTAACATGACAACAAGATGAAAAACAAAGCCTTTACCCAGTAGATATCTAGTAGTTTCTATTATTAAAATGTTGGTAAATACATGATAGGTTGATCATCTTGATAGAAGTTTCAAGCACTCATCAAAAACTCAAGTATAAAAGGCTCAGAAGAGAAATACAAAAGGATTATAAGTTTTTTTTTTTTGCAAGTTTATTAGCGTGTATGATTTTTCTAACCTTAAAAATGCATTTAACATATAAATATGACTCGAATTAAGTCAGACTTAAGGTGTTCAATGTAGACCAGGTTAGCAAAGGTCCCTTTTAATTCTCAAAATCTGTAGAAAACATAGATCCAACAGAAAAAAAAACACAAATCTTTAAAGAGTTATTGACATTAAGTTTGTTCTATTTTAAAAAAATTCGCACTTTCATGTGTTAGCATGAAACATAAGCCTGTATGAACATGCGTTAAAACATAGTGGTACAGTTCAAGCGGTACTACGTGTAAGCAAAAAAGGTTTAACAAGCCNAAATTTAAAAACAAAAAAGGAAAAAAAAGCCATATTTAGGAAATTAATTCTCCAAGTAGGATGGAGAAATGTAATAAATAAAATGTCAACATGCCTCAAGAATCAGGATACCAGATATTTAGATGAAAAGTTAGCCTACCAGATACTAAAAGCAACATCGATTCGTATGAGAAACCTACCTTGTGGAAGCTGGGTTTCTTCTGTGCAGCAGGCAAAACAAGCTGTAAGATACATCGATATTTTTGATTTATGTGCTGCATGCAGAAAATAATGTTAAGAATTCCTGACGCAAGGAAAAATAGATCAAAATGCTTATTACAGAAAGCCCTGTAAAGCTTGCATCAATAACCCAACCCACACACCAAACACACACACACACACACACACACACACACAACACCCTCCACCCCAAAAAGTAAAAGAACAATGGCAACAGGCCACAAGCAAAAAAAAAAGAGAAATTACGCACCAAGAACAGCACAAGAATGTGTATCTTTTTGTAAAAAAATTATCTTAAAAGGAGCTAAAAACATACCAAACAGCATGCTCAAAGTATTATAGCAAGAAATAACATAATCCTTGCAATAAAGGTAACTAGTACGCAATTAGATTTTAAGGTTTAATCAAACAACAAAAAAATTATAGATTACGAGAACTAATTAAAAACCGAGGCAAACTTCAAGACATACCTATCTCTTCAGGGAACAAAGGGCGGAAACGCACTTTATTCGCCTCTAGCATCCTCGGAACTTCTCTTCCAGATTCGGAAGCCTTTAGAAACAGATCATCAATTTCTTTAACACATGAAAAAAAGTCTTTTACTGGTAGTTTATTTTCAGAACCAAATTCCTTGTGTTTTCCATTCATAGGGAGTGTGATCACGGAAGATGTTGTCTTAGATGGTGCCACTTCAGAAGTTTCATCAGTTTCATATAGTCCATTACTGACCACAGTCTCCACATTCTGCTGCTCTGTTTCCGAAGCAACACTTTCATCCAACACCTCATTACGATTTCTATACATTTTAACGAGAGGTTCACTAGAGGGTTTGTCAAATTCGCTATCTGAATCTGTAAAATCATCATCCCTTTCATTTGTAGAGGGCTTTCCCCCTTCCTCTTCTAATTCTGGAACACCCTCCTCTTCTCTGAGACGTGTGATAACCTCAGCATCCTCCAAAACACGATTCGAACCTTTAGCATCCTGAAAGGATAATTGGTTGTCTATTGGATGGAAAAGTTCAAAATAATCCCACGGAGCACCCTCAGCTGACGCATCTAATTCTGATTCAGTGTGCTTAACAGTAGCCGTTACGGAAACCATTGGTCTCTCCTCAATAGTTCTTGAACTGATCCTCACAGCTTTCATATGATTGACATGAACTCTCGCTGAGTTGGGTGGAGAAGGAACCGGAGAGAAAGGTTCACTAGTTTCTACATGCTGAGAAAGAGACGGAGATGAGTTTGAGAAATGAGAGTTGGATTTGTCGGTAAGAGCGAGAGGTTCCGGAGTTGCAGAGGTTGATGTAGTGTACAGTGAAGATTCTGAAGTGACTTCCGGTTGAATAAATTTCCTAAGTGCAGTTCCAGTGTTTCTGAGAGACTGTATGTACGCAACATGGGCAGCTGCTAGTGAGCATCTTCCATCAAGAGCTTGTCTAACAAACCGTTTTCTTTCACGGCACACTAGAAGGGCTTTATCATCTTCAATCTTAGAGCCTGCAGCGCCCATCTCTAGAAGAAAACAGATTGAAAAGCTTCCGAAACTAACGATGTAGATTCTGATTTTAAACTAAAAGTTTCACCCCCTCTTCGGGCAAAATGCGTAGCAGAATGCTTGAACTAAAAGAATTCGGTAGGCCTCAGGAGAAACAGATACCTTTAGTCCTTAACAAATATGAACTGTCTTCATTCCTAAATCCAAAAATAATGAAAATTTATCAGATCTTTAGGTCACATCTCACAAATTGAAAGCAGTAAATTAATTGCCACCAAGGTATGCTTAAGCTCTAGAACTCATTTTGTTGCATTGTTTCATAAAGTACATTTCGAAGTTATTGCAAAAAAATGAATGTGAAACCAAAGATAGAAATTTCTATGTTCTCTCTTTAAACCAATTCCCCAAACCAAACTTGTCAATGACAGACAAAACTAAAGAAATAGGCTTCTCCAAAACAAAAAGGTCTTCCTGTTTAATTGTAATACTACAGTATCAGAAATTCCAATTACCGAAGTATCAAAGTAAGTTATAAGTTTCTCAGAGGAAGTAACTTGCTTAGAGACTTCTGCATGATGCAAAATAAGCAAATGGATGCAGAAATGTTAGTGCATATATCTCTTATTCAATAAAATTATAAGAGAAACAAAGCAACTATCTCCTTCAAGATGAAATGAAGCTAGGTACCTAGTTTTCTCAGCTCCAAATACTTCAAGCTCATAGGACAAATGAAATATTTCAACTCGAGGAGCAGAAATACCCTTATCAGCTCTCAGATAATATCACTAAAAATCAATTAGTAAAGATAAAAAAAACCAGTAACTTCTCATATGTACTTCCAATATAAAGGAAGAGAAAACCCAAATAAATCCAATAAAAACGCAATAATTCCAATTGAAGTCCGCTGAAACGCATAGCTAAACACCCATCAAATAACCAAATAATTCTAGAAAACACAATCAATTCAAAACAGGGAAAACCCAATTTTGTACACAAATCTGTTCTTACAATCAAGATTCAGCGTGATGAATCTTACAACTCCAAAAAAAATTTGAGAACCCAGTTAAGAAAACTAAATTTCTCGAATACCCAATTCACAAAAGTCGAAATTGAAGCGGACCCAGCTCAGGTCCAAAGACGGATCCCAATAAAAAAGGCACCTTTGCTAACTTGCAAAGAGAGGAAAAGGACTACGCAGAGTCAAAACTCCAGTACCCAATTGTAAATTCGATGGAAAAAGGAATTAAAAAGGTATACAAATAGATTGTGAAGTTAATTTCGATGAAAATAATCGAACTTAGAAGCAGAGTTCGAGTTACCTGCGATCAAATTGTACTGAATTAGAGCTTGCTGCTGGTAGAGAGATGACTGAGGATTCTCTGGGTATGAATATGAGAGAGAGAGAGAGGGAGAGAGGGAGAGAGAGAGAGATTTGGTGGCCGTGACGGCCGACTAATTTCATGCAAAAAGTAGAGAGAGAGAGAGAGAGAGAGAGAGTGGAGCCCAGACCGCTTTCTCCCTCCTGCTCTCTCCACAGGAATAAAAGTGATAGTAGGCTGGAAAAAAATAGATAGATGCACAAAAAATGCCTGTATAAATCTTAGTAATGTAAAGCATCGTTTGGTATAAATCTTAGTAATGTAAAGCATCGTTTGGTACAAAAGGATGATTGGGAATGGAATGCAATTCTAACTTTTTATTCATGCTTATCAAATACGATGTATTTTTAGATGCTAGAATTATTATTTCTATTTCTTATCAATTCGTATTTTATGTAAGAATTGTTATTTTTAACTATTTAACAAGGAATTGATATTCTCACTTAAGTGTCAATAAAATAATCAAATAATTTTCGATTATATCATCCTTAAAAGATACGAATAGATATAAATTCTCATATGAAAAATTATTTCTATAGAAATAATATCATTAGTTGCTCGTGCAAATATACAAATAGATGTAAAATATTAAAATACTATTATGCTTTCGAATTTCTCCTAGTTCTATCGCGTCTGCAGTAGAAAAAAAATCTCTTCGCCTCGACGCGACTAGGTTAGGTAACCATTATTTCTTTTTAAATATGTACGCGTGGCTAATCTTTACCTAATATTTACAGCAATTTTTTATCTTTTGGTAACTCGGTTGTGTAATCTATTAGCAATTAGGTTAGCAAGTATTTTATCTTTGAATGTATGATTTGAAGTTCCACTACATATATGCCTAATCTTTTTAGTAATTTTTTTGCATATATGCCTAATCTTTTCAGTAAATTTTTTTAAAGCACTCACAACAAGAAATAATGTGCTTAATTGATGAGATTGGAACTTTATATTTTGAGTAGAGGTTAACTTGTTTTTTATTCATTCAAATTTTCTAGGTTAACATGTTTTCTATTCCTAATCAATTTTTTGAAAGTTAAATGTGTATTTGAAATTTCATAGAGTTTTTATATACAGACTAAAAGTTAACATGTTTTTCCAATCCTTCAAAATTTAGTGTTTTCTTCCGATCTCTCTCTCTCTCTTCATGCATGCACATGGGATTCAGTCATAAATTATGTAGCATGCATATGGAATTTAGTTTATTGTATACGTTTGTGCACAGTGATACTAGTAGCATTACCTGCTCGTATAAGTAATAGATATTTAGCATTAGAAGTTAGAAATGTTGAATTATAATTATTTATGGTCAAAAATAATTTTTATGAAAATAATTTTTTAATTAGTAAGCCAAAACTCTGAAATTGTTGCTGATGCGGTGTACCAAAATATAACTATCAACTGAAAAACTATTTCTATAAGAAAAAATATCATTTTTATAAAACTTATTTTTCTTAAAAATGAATTATTTATTCACTTTTAAAATATTTTTATATTTTTAAAATTCTGTGTTTTTGTAAGGGCATTATTAGAAAACTAAATTTTATTCTCACTTGTGAACAAATGATACCAAACATGGGAATAAGAATAAGATTGTCGTTCCCTTTTCATTCTCTAAATGCGCCCAAAGAATGAGAATGTGCATTTCATTCCCACATCAATTCCATTACATTCATACATTCTTTTCATTCTCATTTGACTCCGTTCTCGCGTACCAAATGAGGCATAAGAGCTATACTGTAAGCGTATAATTATTTTTCAATAGCAGTGCTAGGACAAACCCAAAGGTGGGACCAATCCATGGGACAAGTGACGTGTCATGTCCACCTATTTAATGACTCGTTAGTGAGCTGGATAATAGCAATAAAAATTCAAGGGTATTTTAGTAAATGAGCTATTCATATCTCGTCCTCCAAACGCAGCGAGCGTTAGCGAAACTTAATCCATCACCCCGCAGTCAAGAGTGTATCAAGAAGATGTTAAATAATATTGTCTTAAAATAAAAAATCCGCTGCAAATGGAATTGTGTTTTGACAACAAATTCCGGCGTCGAAATTTTTATATTTGTGAATTTATCCTTTAAATCTTGGCATTTGCAAACTAGTCGTCCAATCCTCACATCTTGAGCTTTTCTACGTACCCCTTCCTACTTAATAATTTTAGTTCTTAAGTGGGGCCGAGAAAATTTTCAAAATTTTTATCCTACTGTTTAGAAACCAGCATTGTTAAGTAGGATGGGTAAAAGGAAAACCAATGTGAAAGAATTAAAGAGTAATTTTACATAAACCAGGATATGAGGGGATATTTATAAATATGGAAGATGTGAAGGGTACACATGCAAAAAAAAACACTTTTATTTAATATCAAATAGTATAGATGTAAATTAGCAAATACTAATATTTCAAGGATTTCTTTTCTTTTAAGTTGTGAATATAATTTTTAGGAATAAAATGATACTTCCTCCAGTTCTAGTAAGCATATAGCTAGGATGAAATTTATAACATGAGTATAAAACAAAAATAATTAAAATAAATAAGTTACAGTTTGATCCTGCAGTTTATAATTAAATTTTAATATTGCTCATCTTTAAAAAAAAATAGATGATAGAAGAGCACACGAAAATGTAAAAGACAAAGCCAACGTGTAAGATAAGATCCTGTGTACATTTGATTTTAACATTTATCGTTTCAGTGAGGAAAATGGCGTCACCTTTCTTTTCATCAGTAAAAAAATTGCCTGATGAAGTGTCACAAGAGTCTTATACAAGGGACGGTTTTTAATTTATTTAATTCTACAAGACATACAAAAGGGAACAAAGCTGATGAGAATTGGAAAAAAAAATAAATAAAAATAAAACTACAAGCCATGTGATGGTGACGAAACACACGAGCACGAGCACATGGACCAAACCCGAAGTCGATCGAGTCATTTTCCTGGACCCGGACGTTCTGCTCTCGAGTAGAAGTTACCATTTACTCATACCATTTCATTAACAAAAAAAAAACACACAATATTTCGTCAGAGGTTTATCATGAGTTTAATCAAGGAATATTGTGTCGTTGTCTTTCTTCTGACTTGGTCACAAGTAGTTGAATTATTTACGCATGCATATATACATGCATTTTTTTGTCCATGGTTTCTAAATCTTGCAAGTAAAACAAGGGAATAGCTAAGCTTACTTTCTGAAAAACAAGCTTACGTATGAGTACCAATATAACATTAATATAATTAAATTTCTTTTACGCAGACAAAAAGTTTTTGATGGTCAAACTCTGCTTACACCATCAAATGGACTCTATCCACTGAGTAACTAATCTGTCAAAGGAGGGGGAAAAAATAGTTGGATTAGTATAGCGATTTTTGAACTCCTTCGCCCTTTAGTGATTAAGATGGATGATCCTTAACAGGGTTTTGATATTAGTACCATAGCTATTTAATGCTTTGAACAAGGCTCTCAAATCATTAAAACGAAAGTAATTCCAAAATCTTGTGAATTATTCCAAAATACCAGCCCTTAATTAAACCACACAATTTATTATCGGGTCTCTTAATTCTCATAAGTTGTTTCAAATTAATCATTTGTCAACCGTATCAGTAGCACGTAATAAGTATTGGTGGACCTAGTAGCGATTTCAACAATTTTAAGGATTAATTTCCAAATATTAAAGCTTTAAGGGGTTAATGTCTAAAATAACTACCTAATTGACATAGACCATTGGGTAGTTTCTTCCTCTTCTATGAACATACTAGATAAATATGTCTTGAGAGTCCAAATCTTTGCATTATTACTTTAGAAACTTTGGGGAATATTCCACCACTCTAAAAAGGAATGAAGAAGAAGGTGCTTGCTTCATCCTGCCTTCTAAATCCAGAGCATGGGATCATGGAAACGTTCACTCGCATTTGATTGGAACAACTAATTAAGCTTTGCTTTATAGCGTTGGGATGAATGAAAGGGACCCCTTTCTTATCTTAATACTTAAATAACTTGTACATCCTCTAAGTAATCACATGCACGAGATGATGGCATTACCCTTTGTTTATTGTGGTACGGGAGGAATATTTAATCCAACAGCAAGTGATGATTTGAAAGTAGCCTTTGTTAAAGAGTTAATTAAAAAGAACATATATAGTCATTTTTTGTATCACGTATATCCTCTAAATTTCTTTTACTCTCGGTTTAAGTGAAAATTGACTAATATTATCCTCTAAATTAATTAAGGACGAAAAAGTGATAATAACGTCTGAGTTTAAGAAATATAAGTGCTAATAAAGTAATTTAGAAAATGCAAATGACATACCATGATAAGCGCAATTTATGTAAACGTTTCCAGACTATTTTATCAATTATGCCTGCATCATAAAAACTTGCAAGCATGCTACTAATTGAGGAACCCTATATTTGATGTGTACACCAATTCTTGAAACAAAAGTATAAACTAGGCCTTCATTTTCATTTGTATGAATTCATTTTTAGAATTTAGATTCAAAAACAAATACTCTTGCACTTAAAAAATAAATCAACAGAAATGGCCTCATCCCTAGAACAATCGATAATGCTCTCAAACTTGGAAATTTTCAAAATAAAATGCGTGTTCCTTTGATAATTTGACCACAATACTTTTTCAGATTTTGTATCATGCAGGCATTGTGATTAATAAAATGCTACTTTAAATTATAT